TTTTTTTTTCTGCCGTCATCAATAGTTCAGCTACCCTTAACGAAGTTCAGCTACCGTCAAATTAATGTTAATATGCTCATTTTGCGAGTAATTTTCGATCGGAAACAATACTCAACTATCGTTAATTCAAATAAAAAAAATTTTCATAATTTTTCTCATCATCTCATTATCAGCATGTTGCCCACCGCTGCGTCAAACCAACACAAACACGACACTAGCAAACGGTTTAATGACATTCGCATACAACAATAATATTTGCCGAAGAAGTGTTGTTGCAACCTGCTCGTTGGTTTTTTTCTTGCTGAATTCTCATTTTAAAATTATTCCAAGCCACTTGTATTTTGTTCTCATCTGATAGTGCAATGAACAGATAATCAAATGGATGAACTCTTTGAATCAAAATTTTGCCAGAAACATTGGAGAACAATCTGTTGAGCATATTTTGGAAAATTCATATTCAATGCGATTAATTGCGATTTTATTGCGATTTGAGGTGAACACATGGAGATGAGTTTGCTCGAAAGCACAAAATAAATCACTCAAGCTTCAAGAGGGCTTGAAACTTTGACGAACTTATCAAAAATGGCACTCAACCATTTCAGGCAACCATCGAATGTACCGAACCTTGATCTGAATGCAGCCATCGTTGCCAATCAAGAATATTTCCTGCGTAAAGCACCAAAGCAGGTGACCTTCCCAGGAACTTGCAATTCGATGCGACAGTGGGAGATGGGTGATCCACCGCTGGTTGTGAACACCATTCAGTGCGTTCTCTCCAATGCTACATGAACATCCAATAACTCTCAGAGCAAACATCATATGCTAAAGCCTCGATGGTTTGAATGAAGGCGACACTAATTGCGTATCCCATGACACTTTCAACTTTTACCATGCATACCTTCATCAAATATGTACGATGGTGTTATGCATCATTCTGGTGAAAGCCAGAAAATTGGAGGTGTCACATGAGCGTTTCTCAATGATTTTCGATTGATATTATGCTCTTGTTTCTTTTAATGCTGGAATATTCTACTAATCGTTTTGTTTGTAAATATTGCCGTTAATAATATATCTTTTCATCTTCCGAATAAAGTAATTGAGCCTCAAAAAAGCTCGGCAATTTTCAGTGATTTTGAATGGAATCGCAAGTTGAACATAAACACCATCAGTTGTGGGATTTCGAAAAAGTCGAGAAAAATTTTCA